TAGGCGAGGTCTCCGTATATGCACATCTGTTGGCCAGTTGGGGATACAGCATTGTGCTCCAAAGCTGTGAGAAAATTAGAGTCGGCCAACATGGCAGCATCATGCTTCTTTCCCTTTGAAAAACCAATTGTTCAACTGATAAATTTTTCTAAGCCAAAACTGGTGACTTAAAACCAAAAACAAAAGAGACTGTAGGAATAACTAGACTTACCTACAGGACCGAACAAATGTTCAATAAGCCCATTAGGAAGAGCAACAGCCTGAAATTTAAGGGCATGTACCCTCTTGTGCCCGTTATAAACAAGCCGTTGGTGTTCCCCCGGCCTGCAAATCGGGCGGACAGTTCCATCCACAAACCCAAAACAGTTGTTAAGGGCAGCACCCTTGTCAGACACAGCATCAGAGTATTGTTGGATAGCAAATGGATTCAAGATGGAATTATTCCAGGTTGTGATTCTGTGATGATGCAGATCGAAGATATAGTTGAGCACTATGTTCGATACCATACACAAAACAGGAACTGGTTTTGCAAATCTTCTGACCATGTCACTGTAACGACATGGATACGCGAGGCGACGAAGAAGTATGCAAAGGCCCTCTATTCGGTCGCAAACACTGCCTTGTGGACACGTAAAGGTGGGCGGTAATTGAAGAACATCAGCGAGACGTTCGATATCTCCTCTTTCAAACCTAAACTCCGCTTTACATTCGGCTTCACTGATGTTTTCGTCAAAGTTAAATTCCTCATACTCGTAGTAAGGCAACTCTAAATTAACTGGTTGATTTGTCTCATAAAGAAACATAAACTCTTCATCCGTCAATAGCCCTTCCGCGTAAGAAATAACAATCATTTCACGAGTCTTTCTTAAAGATGCCATGATGAACAAAACGTTGTCGTCCTCAGCTTGAAATCTGCTCCTTAACGTGAAAAGTTTCCCGCCAAGGTAATCGTCATCGACCCAGTCCCTCGCGCTCAATGTTAACGTCCTCGAGGTCAGCCGTCCAGGTATCTTAAACTCTCTAATTACGAGGCAGCAGTGGACATTATCAACAAGCGATTTGGTAAACCACAGCAACTCATCTCAGCGCACATGGATGAACTCTTGAAGATATCTACATGTCCAACAGACAAACCATATCAACTTCGTTACCTTTACGACAAACCGAATGTCAACATACGAGGTATGGAAGCTCTGGGGGTGGAAGCTTACTGATTCCTATCATCATGGCCAAACTTCCCCCTGAAATCAGAGTGCACGTCGCCCGAAACACCACCGAAGATGTTTGGGATATCGAGTCCATTCTTAACGTAATTCAGAACGAAATCGAAGCGCGAGAGATTGGCGAGAAGATCAATGCCATTTCAAATAACACGGAGCCTAAACAACCTCAGCTTCCGAAAATCCCGACAACTGGTTCCTTTCTATTGGATTCGACACCACCATTGCCAACGCCCACATGTGTTTACTGCTCAGAAATGCATTTTTCTGCCTCGTGTCCAAAGATAACTGACATGTGCTCTCGGAAACGGGATAAAGATGTTTTACATGCTTGAGAAAAAAGCACAATTCAGAACAATGCGACAAAAGTTGCAGAAAGTGCAACAGAAAACATCATCAGTCGATTTGCCCGGAACAAACCATCAACTCGCCCCGTAACGCAAGTAAGCCGCCCCACCCCCCATCAGGAGAGCAAAACAATAAGGCCGTCGACAACGGCGACCACCACTTCAGAGAATGCAAACCCGAAACACAGAGTATTATTGCAAACAGCCACCGCGATCGCGACAAATGACGAAGGAACGAAATCGACAACAATCAGATTATTATTCGACAATGGCAGTCAACGGTCATACATCACAGATAGCTTACGATCCAGGTTGCAACTTAAGTCTCTGAAAACCGAAAAGCTCAATCTAAACACGTTTGGCGAGTCAAAGTTCAAGAAGCAGAGCTGCGATGTGGTGAATTTGCAACTTCGAAAGTCAGAACACGATGATCCGATTACAATCTCTGCCTTGACGTTTCCTGTTATCTGCTCGCCTCTACCCGCGAAAGCGTGTACGAGTTACGCGCACTTGGACGGTCTGGAATTGGCCGATGAACTGTGCAGTTCCGGAAGCTCGACTGACCTTCTGATCGGTTCGGACTACTATTGGAACTTTGTGACTGGGGAGACGAAACGAGGCGAAGAAGGTCCAATCGCCGTAAACAGCAAGCTCGGTTGGCTGTTATCCGGTCCACTCAATGAAACTGTTGACAGAAGTTAAATCACACACTCCAATTTGATTATCGATAGCCACAACTCACTCATATTTCAACCGAGTCAAGATAACGTTCTAGCAAACACTCTCAAAAATTTTTGGGAGACGGAATCAATCGGTATCAGCGAGCTAACAGCTGACGGAGATGTCCAAAACGAATCATTTGAAATCAACGTGAAGAGAAATGAAGATCGGTACGAGGTCAAGTTGCCTTGGAAAGAAGATTGCCTGCCGTCTTCCAACTGTTATCATTTATGTGAGTCGCGGGTACGATCATTACACCAAAGGCTCCGAAGAGAACCGTCACTGCTGTCGGAATACGACAACATAATTCAAGAACAATTGAAAACCGGAATCGTCGAAGAAGTGCCAGTTGAAGATTTGAAGAACGACAAAAACACGTCTCGAAGCCATTATCTTCCACATCTGGCAGTCGTCAGAAAAGACCGTGAAACCACGAAAGTACGAGTCGTGCACGATGGTTCAGCAAAGGCTTCCAAGAAAGAAAGATCATTGAACGATTGCCTACAAACTGGCCCAAACCACCTACCGCACGTCTTTAACATGATAGCTAACTTCCGAAAGAACATTGTTGGCCTTACCGCTGACATTGAAAAAGCTTTCCTGATGGTTGGAATTCAGGACGGTCAGCGAGATTTCCTCCGATTTTTGTGGTTTGACAACCCAAGCTTAGAGAACCTGAAGATCATTCATCTCAAGTTCACACGACTGGTATTTGGGCTTCGTCCTTCGCCGGCTATTTTAGGAGCTACAATTTTGCATCATCTCAAATTGAACAAGCAAAGTGACCCAGAAATGGTCGAGCTCCAAGACCAATCGTTCTACGTGGATGATCTGTTAACGGGGGAGTGCAACGAAGAAAAGGCTCTCGCTATTTATCATAGAGCAAAGAAGTTGATGTCCGAAGGAGGTTTTAACCTCAGAAAGTGGAAAATCAACTTACTAGAAGTACAAAGAGCAATCGCGAAGTCAGAAAGCGTGACAAAGTCAATAAGCGCCCACAGTAACAACAGAGAAGAGAGTCAAGAAGACGATGAATCGTACGCCAAATCAAACACTTAGGATCTCAGCTCTAACACACCAATTGATGAAGACATCTTCGTGAAGGTTTTAGGAATGAACTGGAACACTCACGACGACGAAATTATCTTCAGCTTTTCCGAATTGTACAATTACGCAAGCTTACTTCCGCCAACCAAGAGATCGCTTTTCAAAGTAACAGCAAAGATATACGACCCCATGGGATTTCTGTCACCTTTGACAGTGGAAATGAAAATCCTATTTCAAGAACTGTGCATCAAAAAGACAAACTGGGACATTGAACTGAAAGGAGAATGACTTCGAAAATGGAAATTGTTTCTTAAAGATTTAAACCTCGTCGATTGCTATTGCATCCCTCGTTGTTATTTTGCTCGTCAACCCGTGGATATACAATTACATGGTTTTAGCGACGCATCCGAACGTGCATATGCCGCAGTGGTGTACATTCGTAGCACCTACAGTGATGGTCAAGTTGAAGTTCGACTAGTTGCTTCTAAATCGAGAGTTACGCCGATTAAGAGACAAACCATTCCTCGCCTGGAATTGTTGGGAGCCTTGATCTTAGCTCGTCTCGTAAACAAACTTAAGTCCCTTGGCATCGAATCTCCTACAGTGACGTGGACAGACTCCATGACGACGCTTTGTTGGATTAAGAACGAACGAGTATGGAAACAGTACGTGGGCCAACGTGTTGACGAGATTCGCCGCTTAACTCACAAAGATTCGTGGAGATATTGTCCCGGAGAGATTAACCCCGCCGATCTTCCAACTCGAGGATTAACCGCCAAAGAACTTTCCACTTGTAATACTTGGTGGAATGGCCCAAATTTCCTGCGTAATCCCGTCAACAAGTGGCCTAAAATGCCACAAACAGCACAAACCAAGGAAGAAGAAATTCAGCGAGAAGAGATCAAGAACGAAAAGGTCATTACGCATTTAATGGTTAATACCGACACCAGCGACTCACTC